CAGCAACAGTAGTAATAGTAGTAGTAGTAACAGCAGAAGCAGCAGCAGCAGTAGTAATAGTAGTAGTAGTAACAGCAGCAGCAGTAGCAATAGTAGTAGTAACAGCAGCAGCAGTAGTAATAGTAGGAGTAGCAGCGGCAGCAGTAATAGTGGTAGTAGCAGCAACAGTAGCAACAGCAGCAGTAATTGTAGTAGTAGTAGTAGTAGTAGTAACAGCAGAAGCAGCAGGAGAAGTAGTAGCAGCAGCAGCAACAGTAGCAGCAACAGTAGTAGTAGTAGTAGCAGCAGCAGCAGCAATAGCAATAATAATAGTAAGTAGTAGCAGCAACAGTAGCAGTAGTAGTGGAAATTGTTATAATTATTATACTTTCAAAGCAATGCCATATGGACCAGATAATTTGGAGCTAAAATACAACTTAGAAAGACTCTAACAGTTTAAGAAAAAATAGCTGATTTCTCCAAGCAACTATCCCCTGGGGACGACCGTCTTCCATACACAGCTTCCTTTGCTGGAGAGGCAGCTGGAACAAAGAGGGAAAGTTACCTGCTCTAGGTCACACAAAAATTTGAGGTGAAAGCCAGAGTCCAGGGTTCCAAGCCTCTTGATCACTATGGCTTCCACAATGACCACTAGACAGACCAGGTATCTCTCTGGATCCTAGAAGCCCAGGTGGCTAGTCACCAGCACCTCCACCCCTCACCCTCTGTCCCGGTTTCTCACAATACAAAAGTGTTTGAAAGCAGAGGATCTGAGTTATAGAGGGCAGGAGGAGTCTGGAATATACTGAGCTTAATCTTCTCTTGCCTGTTTCCTGGCTCAGGGGCCAAGAACCTTCCCTGGATCATTATCATAGTGACAAAGGCCAAAATCAAGTCTGTGCCTTTGATGATTCTAGAAGGACCTCTGTCAGCTCCCTCTCCTTCCACAGACCTCAGGCCTAGGTCTCGGCTTGCCTCATGTAGGCATCTCACCTCTGTGTCCAGAAACCAGTCCTGGAGCTACCAGAGAGCCAGCCTGGTGTGATAGAAAATGTGTTAGAAGCTGGGTGTGAGGACATCCACCTGCAATGTCAGGTGCTGTAGTAGTTGAGACTGGCAGATTCACAGGTTCATTCTCCAGAGTGCTGAGGAATACTGCAGTGGGCTATGCCAATTGGGTGTCCACACCAAGACTGGCATCCATATGGTGAGCTCCCAAGTGTGGGGGAGCACAAAGCTGCTGAAGAAGGGGGTAAGTGGCCCAAGTCAGAAATGCCAATCAGAGCATCCATGAGGGTCCCTGCCATTCTTTTTTTTTAAGTGGTGGGCACAGATCCAACACATGTGAGTTTTAATCCTCACTTTGCCACTTGTAAGGGGCCAATGACTTCAGTTTCCTTCTCTATAAAGTCAATGTCACAAGAAGACAGAAAGGGAAGACCAGTGGAAGACAAGGGAGGAAGAAGTGAAATATCAGGGGCATATATGCATATATGTAGGCATTATCTCCCTGAGATAATATAAGCTTCTTAAGAGTAGGGACCATTTTATTTTTTGTCTTTGTGTTTCAAATTCCTAGCACATGCCTGGCACACAGGAAGCATTTAATAAACAATAGCAGCTGGGTTTCAAAGTGGGTGGAGCACTGGGTCTGGGATCAGGATGACCTGAGTTCAAACCCAGCCTCAGACATTTATTAGTTGTGTGACCCTGGGCAAGTCACTTAACCGCTGTCTGCCTCAGTTTCATCATCTATAAAATGGAGATCATAATAGCATCTTTCTCCAGGGTTATTTCGAGGATCAAATGAGATAATAATTGTAAAGCACTTAGCACAGTGCCAGGTACATAAGTGAGCTCTATGTAAATGTCAGCTATATCATAATTATTTATTTTTATTATTATATGCTTGTAGCTGAAAAAAAGCTAACACAGCCTGGCAGATCTTGGTCTTTGAGAGTTCAGAGGATTATAGGTCTAGAACTAGAAGGATTGTCTACTTTGACCTCTTTTCACAAATGAGGAAACTGAGGTCCAGAGAAGTTAAATGATTGGCTCATGGTGGAGATTTGTCTTGCTTTTGTATCTATAGCTCCAGCACTTAGCACAGTGCTTGGCACATAGTAAGTCCTTACATGCTTTTCATCCATCTACCCACCCATCCAAACACTCATTCACCCACCCACCTATCCATCCATCCACTGATCCACTCACCCACCCATCCATCCATCCATCCATCCATCCACCAACCTCAAGGGACTGACATTCTAACATGGGGAGACAGCATCTAGAAGGGAGTAGTGGTCAGGGAAATCACCAAGATGGCAAGTTGAACAACACAGCAGTCCATTCGCCCCCCCTTTCCTGAGGGGGCGGCTGGAGCAAGCTGCATTGTTAACCCCAATCTGAAGATGAGGAAAATGCACCGAAGAGAGTACAATGAGGCCATGTTCACCCCCAAAAAAAATTTAAACCCAAGTCTCCTGGCTCCAAGGCTAATGATCTACTTGCTACTTCACTGATGATGAGGATGAAGAAAAAAAGAGAAAGAAGAGGAAGAGGTGGCAATGACCTCCAAGCACGGGACAGGCAATTAAACAGCCAGCTGATAAACATCTATTAAGCATTTACTGTGGGCCAGTCTGATCCCAAGCCCCGGGACACAGAGAGAGAGAGCAAAACCAGCTCCTGCCCCCAAGGAGCTAATGTCCCAACAGGGGAGACACGTCCATCAGTAGGAGATGGAAGGGAAGACAGAGCAGGGGGAGGGGTGGGGCTGGATGGGGAAGGGGTGCTAAGGAGAGCCATTACCTCCTCGACCTCGGAATTCTACCACAAACAGAATCCAACAGAGCAGCAGCAGCAGCACAGCCCCCACGACAACAGAGACCACCACAATGATCCACGGGAATTTTTCTGGACGCACTGGGGTGGTGAAGGGAGGAGTCGTTGTTGAGACCACGATTCTTTCTAGAGGTTGGAGAAGAAGGCGGGACACATCTCAAGCTTCTCGTTAAGTGATACCTGGGGAAGCTCATACTCGCGCGCTTTCCTCAGTGGGTCAGCCACGACTCCATAGAGCCGAGCCTATGGGGAGCCAGGGAGTGCAGGGGGTGCGCTCTTAACAGTGGGGCTGGGGCTGGGCTGGGGCTGGACGGGGTAACAAAGCTCGGGAGGAGCGGCTGGTTCCCAGAGCAGCGGCACGTGACCCAGGCTGGAGTGGACTGGACCCAGCCTTGGAGCAGGGAGGGCCCTTTGTCGGTCTCTGGTACATCGTTCGCTGTCCATTGTTCTGTAGGAGGACTAACCCACCTGTCACACTGAGCTCTGACCGGTCACTTTCTTCCACTGGTGGCATTTCAAAATTGATAATTCCACAGAAGTATCTCCCACTGTCGTTCATTCGGAGTCCCAAAATAGTCATTTCATAGGTTTGCTTATCGTCCCGCATGGCTATGTGATACCTGTCCTGCAGGTGGGAGCTGGGCGTGTCTTTGGGGTAGGCAGCTAACTTCTCTGGCTGACTGCCATTCTTTTCTCTGTACCAGTTTAAGATGGGAACTTGTAATCTGTGGGAGACGTTGCAGACAAAAGTGGCGTTTTCTCCTTCTGCCCTCGAGAGCTGGAGTGGCCGAAAACCAAGGCTATACTCGGTTTTCACTGGAAAAACAAATCAGATGTGAAAATTTGTTGTCCACAACAGCTCTGGCTCCCAGCCCCTTATCTCTACCCACACCATATTCCTCCTGCCACACCATATTACCCTCCCCTAACCCCAGCCTTGTTGAGGTAAGGGTTGGGCTAGCCAGTCACTGAGAGACCTGTCCAACCCTGAGATTGTGTAGCTGAAGAGTTATCACAGGTGAAGGGGCCACCAGGCGAGGGAAGTGATTGTCTGTAAAAGGCAGGGGATTTGGAACTAGCTGATAGAACTGTTCTTTGGTCTATTGTTTTCTGAGGCCCCAACCCAGCCGGTCTAATTGGTGGGAATTCAATCAAGAAAGCCATTTGTCCAGCACATACTCAAGATAGCTGTATCCTGGGTGCAGGGCTTCCATGGAGGTAAAGATTACACGGTGAGGGGATTGGAGGATCTTAAATTTAAAGGGCCTCTGAGGTCCTTTTACAGATGAGGAAACTGAGGCCCAGAGAGGTTAAGGGATTAGTTCAAGGTTATATAAGCAGTAAACATCACAAGTGGTATTTGAACCCAGGTCTTTTGACTCTGGAGCCAGTGTGTTTCCCATCATGCCAAGCATTTCTGAAGAAATTCTAATACCATCAAATATTCCCATGATGGTGACAGGAATGAAAACCAGACCCTGTGAGAATCGGACAAAAGAATTTTTGCTGGGGGAATGACCAAGCATCCCATGCTATATTTATGGAAGAGAAGGGGACCATTTAGGTTCCAAAAAGTCCCTTTTTCTAGTACAAGGTGGGGAAGGCATGGCTAGCCAGCTGTTCGTCTAAAAAGATGGGAAGCTTTTAGTGAGCGACAAGCAATCAAACAATTTTGAATTACCAATGTGGCATGGCTGTGCAAGAAACAAAAACCACCTTGGGCTGCCTTATCAAAGGTAAAATGTTCAGCACAAGAGAGAGGGTAGGCTCTCTGTCCTCTGCCCTGGTCAGGCCACATCTGAAGAACCACGTTCATTTGAAGGAACCACACATTATCTGAAAGAGCAATTTTGGTGGACGAGGAGCCATCCTTACCATCCATGCCAACGCCAACACCAACTGCCAACCAACTTTCATGGCAGGCAAGAAACCCCAAGAGCCCCAGGAACAGCAACAGCACCTCCTCAGACCACTGACCCTACTTCCAGCCTGTCCCTAAAGCCATCGTCCAGGCAAGCAACCCCCGGGGAAGTACGACCTGCCGACTGCCTCTGCAGGAGCCACAGTTCCCATCCTCACCAGTTGCAGCTAAGATGACATGGAAAAGGAAGTAGTTATCAGCTAAGTCCTTGGCGCTGTCCCATGGTTCAACATCAGAAACAGATCTGATTTTGTTAATGGGAATGATATCAAAGAAGAGGTGTGACCATTGGGACCATCTGGACCCTTTGACCCTTAGGGCCAGGGGCCCTCCCATCTGTCCTGCAAGTGACCCTTCCCATATGTACCATTTCCCCCTAAGAACACGAGCTCCATCAGTGCAAGGGCCATCTTTTCTATTTGTATCACCAATGTTTAATATCATACCCAGTACATAGTAGGCACTTAATGTTTTCCATTCATTCATTTACATGCTAGAGAAGGCATTGATAAGCATCGAGAAGGGGGTGACCAGGACGGTTGAATGAAGGGCCATGAGCTCATACCGTATGAGCATTGAATGAACAAACGATTCAACGAATTGAATGAGCACTGAATATCCATTATCAGGGATAATGATTCTAGAGAAGAGAAGACACAGAGAAAATAGCAGAGTAGTGTTGAAGTATTTGAAAAGCCCCCAAATAGGAGGAGAAGTGGGCACATCCTGTGGGGCTGCAGAAATACCTGAGCCTTGTCAGCAAGCCACCCCATTGACCATCAGCAAGAAGCTTCTCCCCCAAATGAATAGGAAGATTGACCTCTTCCTTTAATGAGGCATGAATAAAGCCTGGCCTTCATTATCATCAGCCTACAACGAATTCTTGCCAGATATGGAAGTAGGAGCCATGTTATTTTAAGCTTTCCAAATGACTGTGCTGTCCAAGGCCAGTTGGCCTCAGTGGTCCCTAAGAACCATAGGCAGAGGGGCATGGCTGTGCCATCCTAGCAGAAAATGCCAGGACTCCCCTGGTCCTGCATTTGACAAACTGCCCTGCCATGGATCACACTCTGTGGGGGATGGATGAGTGTTTGCTGTGACATTACAGAATGCCAGCATCACCATGCTGACCAGAACCAGTTAAATAATGAAATTAAGTTTGTGATACCAAGTAAAGGGTTGCCCAAAATACCTGGTAAGTGAACATGTCAACTAAAGCTTATGTGTTTGGGGACTAACTGGTCCTACTCCAATCATCATGCTTAGACACCTCTCACCTCAGATGCCTTTTAGCTGTGTGACTCTGGGCAAGTCCCTTCCCTTGTCTGGGCTTGAGTTTTCTCATCTGCAAAATGAGCAGATTGGATGAATGGCCCCTGAGAACCGTCCCACCTCCCAATCTCTCATCCTATGAATAGAACATAAGGTGGGGTGTGAAGATAAAGCAGAGATTCATAGAAAATGAAAAGAAACTTCAAGCATTTCCTAAGAGCCTGGCATGTGCTGATCACTGGTGGGGGGTGGGGGGCAGCCGAAAAGGAAGCAATGCCTGCCCTTAAGAAGTTTACATCCCACTGAGGGGAAGGGGGCGGAGCGACAGGTACACAGGTAAGTAAATACAAAATAGACTTGGGGATGAGACACAGGAAAGAAGGGGAGATTAAGGAAGACCCCTTGTAGGAGGTGGCTTTTGAGGTCCATTCCAAGAGGAAAAGGGAAGTCATTTCAGGCATGAGGGACAGTCTAAGCAAAGGCGCAGAGATGGGCTGGCAGATATGGAAAATGAACAGTGTGGCAGAAATAAAGGTGTGAGCATGGAAATGAGGCTAGAACCAGATGGTGGAAGATCTTCCATGTCAGCCAAAGAGCCAAGGAAGGCAGCCTGGAAGAGGTGTTCCCTGAGCTAAGCCTTGAGGGCAGATGATAAACAAGGGGATTTCATGGTGGGCCTTCCTGCTGAGGTGTGGGTCAGAACAGTTACCCCCACTGCTCTGTCTCAGTCCTAAGATTCTACAAGCTTCTCATGGACCCTGGATCCTGTTTTGTTTAACCCGGCCCGGAATAGAACCCCAGACTGTGCTAATTTAGGGCCACGCCACCATTTCTGCCTTCATAGTCAACGTGCCCTTTTCAGGCGGGTGGGGCTGTGAGAGTGGGTGTTCTGAAACCTAACGGCCTTTGGCATCAGGCTGCCGAAAGGCTGCACCCACCACCGAAGTTCAAGGAAAATAGCTTCCCTGAGTGGGGCCAGGGTAGCTCGAAGAGGGGCGGACGGCATCCACCTGCTCTGTAGATAAGAGGACGCGGCTGTGGGGAGCACAGGCTCCTCTGAGCTGAGGCGGCTTCCTCTCCAGGGAAGGACAGTACAGCAAGAGGGCTTGGCTTCTTTAAGAAACAATAAAAACCCAGTCAATTACTCCAAGGCCTGAGAAATACATAACAGAAACATCAGTGATGTCACCGATGATAAACCCAAGGCAGTATCTGAGTTGTAAGCTCTGGAGGAGGGAGGGGAGGAAGGCAGAACAACCATTCACGCTCAGTCATAGAGTAAAGGCTGAAAAGGACTTAAAAGGTCTAGGCCATTTCACAAAAGAAGAAACTGAGGCTCACCTCCCATTCTCGTGGATGGTTGTAGTTATATTAGATGCAATCCAGTTCTGCCCAGCAAATAGTAATGAAGCACCTACTGTGTGCCAGGCCCAGGGGAGACAGGCAAAAGCAATCAGTCTCTGACTGCAAGAAGCTTATGTCTTTGTTGGTGTGGGGAGACCCATACCCATAGAGAGGAGTAATTCCAAGGCTACAGAGTGTATGCAAAGTAATACAAAGGGGTTTTTAAGAGGAAGCAGACCCTATCAGCTGGGGGGGCTCAGGAAAGGCCTCATGGAGGCTGAGCCTGAAGGCAGCTACAGGTCCTAAGAAAGGAAGGGGAGGAAAGAATGCACAGAGACCCACCTGGGCAAAGACATGGTGACGGGAAATGAAATCGTGTTAGAAACAACTCTAAAAGCTTTAGGTCGACTCACTTTTGACCGAGTGAGGAGAATCTATTCCAGGACTGTACTAACATGCACAACCGAATGTTCTAAAAGAAAGGCCTAAGACGCACAGGGAGGAGAAATCCTTAGAGTCGATGTTAGGGACAGGCAATATTGGTCTGTGACAGTAAATAGAGGCCCACTTCCTACCGTCCAGTGAGACAAGGAGCACGGAGCGTGTTGGGTTTGGAGATCTAAAATCAGCAGTGTGGTGTAGGGGAGTCACAGGACTTGAGTTCAAATCCTGCCCCTGACGCTTGTTACTTTGTGACCTTAAGCAAGGTTGTTACTCTCCTGGCATCCAACTCAAGGGATTATTTGGAATGCTCCGCACTTCTCCCCAGCTGCTGCTTTCCTCCTCTGATGGTCTTTTGTCTGTGCAGCATTCACCGTGTATATACTGACTTACAGACACGTTGTCTTCTCCGTTAGAGTAGAGAAACCCTTTGAGAGCAGGCAGGAACTACTTTTGCTTTTCTTTTGTATCCCTAGTGCTCAGCACAGTGGCCCGCCCAGAGTTGGGGCTTGTTGGCTGGTGATTGGTGGAAAGGATATGGGGAAAAGATGCAAGTGGAAACAAAGGAATGGAGTTCCCCAGTTTGCACCCCTCCAAGGAGGGGCCTGAGGGCCGGATGCCGTGGGAAGGCTGACTTCCAAGCTCTGTTCATGCTCACAAGGAAGGCACCCGGCAGACATGGCATCCTCAGACTTTCTTACATCTCCCTGAGGTCTAGAGTCTTTGACAACACCCAAGGACTAGGGCAGTTTTCCAACAGGGACTGGAGCCAGCTCAGTCTGGAGAGCTGATTGTTAAATTTCCAGGATGAACATTTACACCTCAGAAATCAAAAAAC